TAACTCCGATAGAACTTGTCTCATGGTTTAAGTGAGAGACTGAGGTCCGCCATTCACTGGGTATGAGATGCCTTCAGTCCTAATATGCAACTACTGTTTCCTCAGGTGAAAACTGCTGACACAGGATACATGTCTCGTAGGCTGATGAAAGGCCTTGAAGATTTATCTGTTCAATATGATAACACTGTGCGAAGTGCAAATGGTGGCATTGTGCAATTCATTTATGGGGATGATGGTTTAGATCCCGTGAAAATGGAGGCTAAAGGAGGATTCCCATTAAATTTTGATCGATTGCTCATGAAAGTCAAGGTTTGTATTCCCACAAGAAAAAAAGTAAATTTTTACATTTGTTTCTTCTTTCATGGCATTGAATATCATATAATGATTAAATATATCTTTGGATTGATCTTTCCGTAGGCCACCTGTCCCATGGAAGGAGATGACTACTTATCTCCTTCAGATATGTTTGAGACCATTGAAGGTATACTGCAAGATGATCAGACTCTTGACAACGCTTCTTCAGATGCCTTCCGAAAAAGTCTCAGTGATTTCCTGTCCAAGCACGCTGAAAGATTAGAGAGCATGTTAAGGAAGGTGAATGGCCATGAGGGAGGAATATCTGATGGTATGGAAGATGCTGAATCTGCACAAGTAAATATCAGTCCTAGCTGCAAGGTTGTCTATAAAATATATGGTTTTACCAAACAGCAGTTGAAGGTAAGCTGGGCTATAAATCTTGATTCTCAGTGAAAGTTCAATTTCTTCTTCTAACTTGTGATGTTAGTTGTTCTTTGTGTGACTAGTGACCATGGCTGTAGACACAAGGCAGGGTAAATATTTAGGATCTAGTCTTTTTATTTGATGGTTTCTAACTTTTATATCCCTACTTGAGCTCGTTAAGGTCTAGTGGACCTTCTATTGTTATGTGATCTTGTTGGTGGTGTTTGGTCATGTTTCAGTTCGGGTATCTTTGTCCTACTTGTTTGCATATCGATTGAAGGTGGCCTAGTGGTGAGGTTGAGAATCTAGAAAACCGTGCTTACATTATTGTAGATACTTGGAGTTAAAAGTAAAAAAGCAGCACCTGTTTGTGTCTAAGAATTGTTGGATAAGTGCCATAGTAGACATTTTGTGTCCTCTTTCGTTGTCTTGCTCTCACATGAATCTTGATGTTGAAGGTTGACCCAGCAATGGATCTGAGATTCGTGGTATGATAAACTCCTAGTTGTTTGATGATCCGCTGAATTTATTAGGCTGTTTTTCATATTAAGTGTATTTATAAGGTATTGTCATGCATACTTTTGTTCAAGCAAATATGATATTGTTTCTAACCTTCTTGTTTCTTACTTTCTTGGTTATTTGTCACGATCTGCATGTAATGAAATTGAACTGCAGGTTTTTCTGAGAATCTGCATTGATCGTTACCTTTGGAAGAAGGTTGAACCTGGAACTGCAATCGGAGCAATTGGAGCTCAAAGTATTGGAGAACCTGGGACACAGATGACACTGAAAACTTTCCACTTTGCTGGAGTTGCAAGCATGAGTATCCTTTACTAATCTCTTGCGACTACCCTTTTTGATACTTTTCTTACTCTGGTTTATCAGTTGCAGCTACAGTTTCCTGGGTTGATTGCTTAATGCCTCTTAGATATCACACAGGGAGTTCCTCGTATTAAGGAAATAATAAATGCAGCTAAAAAGATCAGCACTCCCATCATAACTGCTGAGCTTGAGAATAATACAAATGTAAATGCTGCTCGAATTCTAAGAGGGCGTGCCCAGAGAACGGTTTTAGGCCAGGTTTGTTCTGTGGCTCACGCTTAAGGCAAAGATGTGCAAGCTACTATATTGTCTTTTGCTTGTAGTAAGGTCCAGCTGCGAATGAAGATACATAGTTTATCTTATTAAGCTATTGGCCCACCGCTGTTAACTGGTTTATCTCCATGTGTAAGTTGGTATTATGAAGATATGATAAATGATGATGATGATAAATATGATTGATAGGGTTGCTATGTGTAAGGGTAGAGTTATAATGCAGAATAAGATTGGAAAGAAGCAATGAGAAGGTCGTTTGGTCTAATTCACTCATGGAACAGGGGAAAGGCTCTAGTAAATTTCTGACTGCTTAACGGAACTTGTCTGTGCACAGTAAAAAATCATCTCGACTGTGAAGCTCAATGTATTATGTTGTGCTTTTAACTAGTTTTTACATTATTTGTGCCAGTTGTAACTGCTGATCCATTCTAATCGAGACTCTCATGGGTTGTTATCAACTTATCTTGCTTTGGATTTGTGTGATTTATAGTTCTTCCCTGCATGATAAATTTCCCATGGATTTTGCAGGTTGCAAAAAGTATCCAAATTGTGATGACTTCAAGATCAGCTTTAGTTAGGGTTACACTTGACATGGAAACCATTCAGGAGGCTCAACTGGCTCTGGATGCTTACATCGTACGGCAAGCAATTTTACGGATTCCGAGATCTAAAATAAAAGAGGAGGTAATAAATTGATTGAAGGAGAGGAAAGGGCAAGGCTCCCAGAAATAAATGATAGATCTGAATGGAAACTAACCTTTTCTCGGAAATAGAGTTTGGTTGTGTTATCATCTGCTGCTTGCAGAATAATGGCTTCTCATAACCCTTAGTTTCAACCTGCAGCATGTGAAAGCTTCGGATGGGAGAAAGTTGGAAATATCTACTCAGGGTGGCAGAAATAAACTTCATTTTGAACTCCATCATCTCAAGAATATGCTCCCAAATGTGGTAGTGAAGGTTAGATTTCTGCTCAAGTAATGTGTTCAGAAAAAATCTCTCATCTTACAATTGACTCCTTTGCCTGTGTGGTTCACTGTCATTTACTGTTCTCCTTATGCTAGGGCATTCAAACAGTTGAACGGGCTATTATTGCCCAGAAAAAGCGCGAGGGAAGTGGCAAAGATCAAGAGATCCCAAAGTACAACATGTTGATAGAAGGGTTAGTTTTTTCTAACTTGATTTTGCACTTTTGCTTAATATTTTCAGAGTTCTGTATAGTTAGTAAGGCCCCGGATTGAACTTTCACTGTTTTTTCAGTTATATAGAGTAACAGTGAAAGGGCCGGACATTTCTGCAAACTTCTCACAATCATTAGAAAAAAGACATTTATTATTTGCTTCAACTATCTAGTCATTCTGCACTTATTTCTTCTTTCGATTCTTTCATCTATTTCTTCAATTTGTGGCATGTAGCTCTCTAGGGAATTCTTACTAATAGATCATGAAGGAATTGTCCAGTGTAGTAATTCTCAACTTTATGCATCTTCTCTCAGAACTGGACTTTTAGAGGTGATGGGGATCGATGGGATCGATGGGCGCAATACAACGAGTAATCATGTTATGGAAGTTCAGCAAGTGCTAGGAATTGAAGCGGCAAGAAGGTGCATAATTGAACAGATAAAAGACACCATGGAAAGCCACGGGATGAGCATAGACATGCGCCATATGATGCTCTTGGGAGATATAATGACATTTAAGGTGAGTCTTTTAGTCCCCCTGATTAAGAAAATAGAAGCTGCACGGTACTTTTCTTGACATGTATGTATTGTAACAACAGGGTGAAGTACTTGGGATCACAAGATATGGTATCCAGAAAATGGACAAGAGTGTGCTGATGCTTGCTTCCTTTGAAAGAACGGCAGACCACCTTTTCAATGCATGCGTGAATGGGAGGGAAGACATGATAGAGGGGGTTAGTGAATGCGTCATAATGGGGATCCCTGTTCCCTTGGGTACTGGGATACTCAAAGTTCGCCAAAGGTACGACACCAACTGTACTCATCTCTTCTACTACTATGTAGGGGAATGGATAACGAATGGCATCTGCAGTTCTCCGGATGTCGTCGTGATTTTTGTTATGAATTCTTATTTTGTTTATTGCGCGCTGCAGGGCCAATGATGATGCACCAGCCATGTTGCAGTATGGACTGGATCCTATATTGGCTTAGAACGGTGGTTTCATCGGAGTTCTGATGTTAGAAGCTGGCTTTATTCTTCGTTTGGTGTTGGTCCCTTCCAGGTTGTGTAAATGGGTAGAGCCTGAGTTGTTGCGTATACCACAAGTAATAGAAGAAAGAAGCGTGATTCCCTTTTCCTTAGGAGGCAGGCCATTCAATTTATTGGTCATTTATTTTGAAGGTGGTGTCCTTGTTATTTAGTTATCAACTGCTCCAGCAGCTCGTTACTATTTATTAAGTTGCGAAAATGATTTTTTTTTTTGTGACTATTGGATAATTGTTGGACTCAACTCTCAAAGCCATGCATATGCTAAATAAATGCATGAGTAATTTCATCCATGAGAAAGTCTAATGATTTTATTGAGTCATTATTTAATACCTACTCTTCATGAGTTATTTTCAAATGATTCATTATTTAACCATAATTTTCAACTATATGCTTGTCTCTTTTGTGCAAATTCACTTTCATCCTTCCCTTTCTATTATTAGTTTTTCATGTTCTGTTTTGTCTCCTTTTGAATGTTTTTTCTTCTCCCAAAGAGAGTCATCTATTTAGTGATACATCTATTTCGTTCACAAGGACATCCTTTGTAGTTTCCTTTGTAGTTAGTTTAAATGTCTACATTTTCAAATATCTACATTTTCAATAGCCCCAAATCAACCTAAAAAAGTCCTACTCTTGCCTGAAACCTTCGGGCGGGAGAGTCTATTACAAAAAAAAAAAAATAAAAAAAGAGTCGCCACTAGTCTATTTTGCAATTGGTAATGAAAACGGCTTCGGATGACGAAGAAAAGAGAAGGAGAAGAATCCGGACACTTTCTAAGATTACATATGGAGAACTAGCCTAAAATAAAAGAGCTCATTCACCGTAACGTAAGTAACTTGGTGCAAAATCAAAAGTGAAGTATCCGCACGTGTGTAGAGATCAACGGAAGACTCCGCGGCAGAACGATCCGACGAAATGAAAACATTGGCCAGATAAAAGAGAACAAATAGAGACCTATTACTGTTAGCAAGGTCACTCAAAAAAATATATGATTAGAAGTTTAGAACACGAGACGAGCAACACATATACACCAGCATTGAAGATAACAAAATTAATCGCTGCTATGAATTTGCCAAAACCAATCTATCGACTTTCATTACATTATGCACAAAGATTCGTTCCACATTCTCAACCTTCAGTTTGGATAATCACTAACAGTGATCTGCAGTTCGGAATCATCCCTCTCGCACGCATACTGCCTTACAAAGGCTCTTCTCCACCAGATCTCAAACGCTCTCTGAAGGTTTGGGCAGTCGTCACCCTTATTCAGAAACCGGTCGAACCAATTTATCAGTATCCCCTGCTGTTGCAGCAATGGTAGGGTAAGTATCGTCTGGCTGAGACCATCTTCCACCAGCTTCTTGTCTACACTCCTCGACGCCCTTCTCATCCACCCGAAGTCCTCGTAAAGAGCTTCCAGCCAAGTGGATAGCAACCCAAACCGAGTCTCCTTCTGCACCAAAATCTGTCCTCTTCCAATTGCAATGCACAACTGTGCTGTCACCTTGCTGATCTCGTGTCGATACATTGTTGGAATCTTCGAATGAAGTGATGCTAGTTCCTTCTGGTCTGCCCATAACTGCACAAAGTCGTCTCCCAACTTCTTACCAATCAGAATTTCAACAATCCACTGCAAGTTCTCTGCTTCTCGAGCTATTTCACTCATTATACCCCCTCGGTCGTGATTCCGGCTAATGTTATCATCAACACATGCGACTTCGGATAAGGTTAGAGTCAGACAGGTGATGCACTGCTGGCAGAGAGAGTAGAGTGCGTCTTTGGAAACATCTAGTTTGTTATTAGTATGGTCGTGATCAGATGATGATGACGAATCTTCTCGAAATAATCGGGAGAGAAGAGCTTTCATTTCTCTACGAGCTTTCTCGTCCTTCGATTGGAGGACGCCATTGAGCAGTTTTGAGAAGATGTCATCAGCTGCTGCTGTGGCGGAAGTAGATGGTTCAGATGATGACACTCTCTGGAGAAGAGATTCAGTGGCCGAATCGATTAGGTCGAGCTCAGAAAGATCTGATATGACCTTTTCTTCTTCGTCCTCTGACCAAGGAACAGCTTCCAGATACTCCAGGCATGATGCAATTCCCGCCTCAAACTTTATGGCCGCACAAACCTGGAGAAGATGATATACTCTCTAATGTAAGAACCACTTCTAGCAACTGAAACCCAAGGAGATGAATAATAATCCATTTCAAACATAAACGGCTGTGAATCTACTTAGACTTCCTAATCCAGCTATAATAAGATAACTCAGTCAATACCAATTTTCAAACCTAATACAGAACGACCCAACTGTAATTCCTGATCTACTTAAGACAGAATCGAGAGTGAAGTTTTCATTCTGTACGACACTCTCACTAAGTTGACTGGTCCCATTAGAAATCCTAATCCAGTAAGGACTCCTAGTTTCCTACCACAAATTCATATTCCAACCTGCAGTAGAATCCCAGATCAAAACCCCCCATTCCCTTTTTCTCTAGAACCAAACCAATGTGCAGAAGATAACAAAATAGCAAAATCGCCGCCGAAAGCATATGATCCACTGAACCAGGAAACGAGATAGATAAATAAGAAGCAAAAAGAACTCCAATGTTGAATACCTTGAGCAGAGCCAAGGCCTTGGAGACTCCCACCCCTACCAATCTCTTCTTGAGGTCATCACAGTACATGAAGACCAAAGCTTCCAAGTAAATCTCCACATCATCGCACTCGCTAATCTCAACGGAATGCATGGCCCCTTTCTCCTTTCCTTTCAGATTCTCCCTGAAAAAGACGCTCTTCTCCATCAGAACCTTCTTGTGCACATCGATGGAGACCTTATACCCTTCTCTCCCGACCACCGTCAGCCTCACATCCCCCATCCCCATTCCGAACCCATTGAAGCTCTCGAACTCCCTGAGTATCTTGGAGACTTTCGATTGCGACTTCTGCCGGAACTGCTCCAGCGCCTGCTCCTCCGACATCATCTGGAACAGCGTCGGGTGCTGACTCGGCCGCGCACCCGCCGCGTTGTGTGAACTGCTTGTTGTTGTTGTTGGTGGTGGTTGTGGTTGCGCCGTCGGTGGAGAATTTGTGGTGGTGAAGCTGGGCGGCGGAGAGAGTAGGGTCTTGGAGTTCGGGGAGCCCAAAACCCTAGCCAGTACGGCTGCGGTGGCGGCCGGCGTCCTGGAGGGAGAGAAAGACGAAAACGCCGGATCGGAAATGAAGCCTTGTCTTATCATTGCCGAGACCTCTCTGGACGCCGCCATTGATTGAGATTTGAAAGTTGGAAACCCGCCCGATTTTCTCGTCGGAGTGGCAAGATAAGAGCAGACTGGTGAATTTTCCCGGGAGATTTTTCTGCCGAGTCTTCTCCTTTATTTTGCGGGAAAGTTTTTCAACTTTTGAGGTTTTTTGGTGGACTGACTGACTGACTGGCTGACTCAGAAAAGGAAAAAGGATCCGAGAGACGGTCGTATTACCGGTTTATTGTTTGTTTATATTAAAAAAGGAAGGTGGGAAATTTATAATTAAATTCAATATTTTATTAATTCTGTAGTGGTTGGTGCACGTTCCGTCACGTGACTCATGTCTATGCTGTGTTAATTTCGATTAAGCCCCTGGAGTTAATTGAAATTACAAATGAGTATTTTTTTGGTTGGTGAAGTAATTTTTCTAGTTTCCACCAGAAAGAAAAGAAAAAAAAAATATACTAGGTTGTATTGATTGAGAAATTCTTTGCCTTTAACTAGAAAGTAGGAAGTGCACCTTATTCTTTATTGTTACATAGACCGATCAGATCCTTTTCTCGTATATTGATTGAGAAATTCTTTGCTTTCAACTAGGAAGTAGGAAGTGTACCTTATTCTATATTGTTACATAGACCGATCGGATCCTTCTCTCGTATATTGATTTTTGTATGACATGTTTTGTATTTTCAAGAATCCATTAAAACTTCATTCTCGATTTCTAATGGGACCAGGTAACCTTTGCTCTTATTAAACAGAAGTGACCAATTCATACAATTTCAAACTTTTACTACAGTATCATTACAAATTAAAGATTCGTGACCGTTTTATGCTAAGTGCAAAGATTTGGGACCATTTATGTGAATTCTTATTAATCTGGAACCAAAGAAGCCGATCTTGCAAAGTAAGAGAGTTGATGGGAAATAATACTGCTGCTGAGAGTTGTGGTGGCCTAATTAACTGGGGAATCAATAATTATCGTTGCAAAATTTGGAGATTCTCACAATAATTGCTCAACTGTCAGCTAATTACCCACTTATCTATTGGAACTGGTTTGCTGGATTGATGAATAGAGACAAGATGCAGTTCGCTGGATTGGTCTGGCTGGCCTTGGTGTTTGTTTGCTGTCACTGAAAGATTCTTTCAGATGAAATTTCACAGCGAATGAATCACTATGGGACAATGGGTGACAATAAGATTTGAGTAAATGTAAATATTGAACTCATTCAACCTCTTCCTACAAGATGTTGCTCGATCCTTTCGTCTCTCTGACTGCCTTAGCAGCTCTGCCTGTCATCAATAATGTTGCTATATCTACTATCTACTCCATCCATGTTGATACCATCGATCGACGACTAAGAACAAAGATGTGACCGAAGGAAGAACGACGGAAGCCAAATGTGCAGGATGGCATAGCAAGCATGCAATGCAATGGAATGGAGGCAGAGCTAGGGGCCATATGTGGGGTTACAACAAGTTGGACTGGTTGCAACAATCTGTTGCCATGGCATGAAGACTTAAAGGGCACAGAAATAAGCTAGTCAGAGTTCAAGAGGGCACAGAAATAAGCTAGTCAGAGTTCAAGTTCATGAAAGCATTTACTAGTAAGGGCCGTTTGTAACAAGACCATTAGGAAGAAGCAAGAAAAGAAACACCAAGTTTACATTGCAGAACAGCAAAAATTCCCAAATAACACCCTCAAACACAGACATTACACAACATTGTGATACAATAAGACTCATAAAAAAAAACACAATAAGACAGCTTCCCAAAACCTTAATTCATCAAAAAACAACTGTAAAGTTTCCTGATACCGTATGAAACACACAATTGAACGGTTACAACGAAACACATAAGATCTTCAACTCCAGCAGCATCTTCCAGCCTCAAAATACCTCTTCAGAAAACATTTGCTTGGAGGTCTTGTAGTTCAGGGTCAATGATTGCAGCATCTTTCTCTGCTTCGCTCCCGAATAGTGGAGCCTCAAGCTTAGGTGAGTCCTGGCAGCCAGGGATGAGAATTCAGTGAGCAAAGGATATCTAAGGAGATAGACTTTAGCAAGACTTTGAATGTGCAAGGCGAAACTAATTTACAGAGTGGATCTTTTGGAGTCCACACTAATCCTGTGAGTAAAAAAAGTTAATTGGAGTAGTGAAAGACGGTAACAAATTAAGCTACCATCTTACCAGGCAGCGGACAAGTGCCCAGTTCATGCCCTTGAAGAATGGATGCCTCTTGATTTCACTAGCTCCTTCACGAGATCCTAGTCTGTGCTTAGCATCTCTATGCAACAATCGGTACATCAGTTGCTTAGCATGGAGACTAACCTGCATGGTGACATTCGTCGTTATTGGTAAACAAAGGCATTTACGAGGAAAATAGTTTAACCAATTAGTGTTCTATTAGATGACATATGCTGATATGCATGAGCATACACAAACATGCAGATACAGGGATGAACAACATTCATCCATGCTGATGTACGTTGAAACAGGCCGTCAAACAGAGAGAATGATGTTTTGGAGAAATTAAAAATTCTCACCGGAATACTTGCTGGGAACTTGAGGTCCTTGTGAAGGATATTGGCAAATGTCTTTTGCCTTGTCTTACCCCTGAAAGGGGTGTATCCATAGAACATTTCATACAGCAGAATTCCTGAGGAAGGAACAATGGGGAGTTAAATAGCCAGAAAACTTGATGATAGGAACTCCAACTGGTCGATGCCTAAATGAGGCACAAGCAATCATAGACTTCTAGCATACAAGAAAGGCCATAAAATTCAAGGATGAGAGTAATTACCAAGAGCCCACCAATCTACTGCGCTGGTATGGCCTGCTGCACTAATAATTTCCTGTAAGAGAATAACAAGGCAATGTTGAAACATTACTGAAGGCCCTAGATGCAGATAAACTGCGTGAACCATGCACTGAATTTTAGATATCAATACCTATGTATGAAAGGACCTCATAAGATGATTTAAGATCAAGGTAGTAAAATACACTTGAAACACCAAAGGTTCTTTAAACATGCGGGTGAAATTCGCTACAAAGTTAAGAGTGCAGTTTGGGAGTGAACAAACCGGAGCTATGTACTCTTCAGTTCCAACAAAGGAATTGGATGCCCGCATTGGTTCAGCCATGAATATTGGATCTTGGTTGTGCCTGCTTCTCTTTCTCTTTTCGTTGCTACTTGGAAGAAGCAGCTGAAAGAAGAAGCATTAACACACATGTATGATTAGTTAGCATCCACGCACTAAATATGGTGTAAAGGGCAGCGTGAGACCACCAACTTACTTGTGGCTTGCATGATGTCAAACATGATAGGTCAAAGTCAGTCAAGGCAATATGGCCATTTCCTTGGAGTAAAACGTTCTCAGGCTTTAAGTCCCTGTAAATGACTCCTGAAAAGGGAACCCAGAAGATAGAATTGCCATCAGACCTGATATCCTGAACATGTCATCTAATCTTTTACATTTGATCCAGCAGGGTGTCAGGAAAATAACCATATAATAGAGTCTACCTTGGCAATGGAGATATTCCAATGCAACAATTACCTCTGCAGCATAGAACCTATGATCATGAAATTTAAGAGTCAGATGTATTGAATTACAAAATATTATCCAACAGGTTGTTTGGGTTAGGCGAACTCATGAGGGTAAGATTTGCAAAATAGTAGGAGATTGAACGATATATCATTCCTATTGACACTTTAAATGAATTAGGGTGCATTTGAAATAGCACACACAATCGTACTATAGGAAAGTTGGATTTTGACTGATACATCTCACATAATTGCTTGCAATATGGAAAGTATGAGATAAATCAGTTTACCAGTATGCCAAGCCAAACAATATCACTAGTATTACTAATTGTGGTCATCCAAAGACACAAATACAGACAAGAGCTTTTGGGTTTACCTTACAGCATCTTCCTTCAGCACCTTCAATGGCTGTCTGTCCAAAAGAACAAAGAGCTCTCCACCCGGGCAGTAATCCGTTATCAGACAAATATGTGTTTTTGTCTGAGTCGTATGAAAAAAAGGATGTCAACTAAAATTTCAACCATTTCAGAATTTTTCATAAAACTGTATCAACTATATTGATCTTGGTATTTTCATTTGCGTGACAAACAAATTTAATTCCAGATTAAGTAAAGGGACAAGTCATCTCATTATCTGACCTGAAAGGAAGCATACAAAGCAGGAAGAAAAGGGTGGTCCAACATGTCAAGTATTTCTCTTTCTGCACAAGCTCTATGCACCTGGGTCAAAGCAACATGAGCCGTTAGAATGCATGACGGGTGAAATTTTCACTTATTCCGCGGAAGTTGAAGTGAAGGCTTCTAAATCAGGAAAGGTTTAACCCAAAGGATTGACTTAACAGATACAGGGATGAACAACATTCATCCATGCTGATTCCGATCATTTAACTATCAGGAGAAGACATAGGAGACAGTACTAAATCAGACAACTATGAAACATTAAATTCTAGTACCTTATTCCTGTTGAGCATGACATTTTTGTCCATAGCTTTCATGGCAAAGAACAAGCCAGTTCCACAAAGTTCTACCAAGTGGACACTGCCAAAATATATGAATAAAAATCATATCCTTGCCTCGTTGCAGTAAGAAATGAACAGTGTGAAAATTAAGCATTTATTAGGATATCGTTGTCATGTGTCGAAACATAATAACATGACTTGCTTAGAAGCCGTTCAGTCATAACAAATACAATATCTTCTTAGATGCGTTTGGTTCAAAATTCAACAGACTCCCCAGAAACATATATCAAAAAAGCTTTAAGTTGAATGTCCAAAAGTGTGATTGTGAATTCATTATAACCTAAATCCTACAAGGTTGCAATTTTGTGGTTAAAAACAACAGAAATGCAAGAACAAGTTCAGAGAAAATTGAAAAAGGTACACCCACCTCCCAGTGTCACCAGATCCCAGGGGCTTCACTGGCCTAAAATGCTTTAGGCCTATCTGTTCTCCGCTATCTTGAATCTGCAATTTACATAAGAAAATTCTATGAGATAAGATCCCGAGGTGCATGACTAGACAATTGTCAACCAAGAAAGGAAATTCATATGAGTTGATGCTGCTTCAAACTTAGAAAGTGGTTAAGGCTATGCATCGAAATGTATCACAATGAATTGTAATTAACAAGCCACTGTAGATAGATGATAATAGTTGCAGTTCTCAGATGACTTGTTCTCCATTTCTCCAGTATTCAATTTTGCATGTGCAGAAAAATCACCTTCTGAATGGCTTCCCAGTTAGGAGTATTCTTCCTATGTGGTTTTGGAAGCACGAGCTTTGAATGATTAGCCCATAAATCTTCTGGTGTCTGCAGTTAATAAAATTTGTTATGTTATACATTCACAACAAAAAGGGAGCTGCTTTGGAACTGTACATTAGCATCCGGAGACATTTACCAAATTAGCATCTGGAAGTTCCCTGGCTGCCACTCCAACATTTTCAGCTGTTTCTTTCACCTGAAAGTAGAAAAAACATCCAAGTCACAAATTAGAATAGTTACAAGCTCTAGAGAGGACTACTCACACTGACTAAAATGAACTTTGCTGTAAACAGAGCTAAATGATGATAAGTCTTAAAGTATCAATACCAATTTTTCGCCTTCTTTCGCAACATCCTTGGCAATAGCGTTATTCTGTGGCTCAACATGCTCACTGCCATCTAATTGAACCCCAATGAAGTATTGCACTTCTCCCTGTTCACAAAAGCTAAAACTTGAAACCAACGTTCCTTTTCCCATTGATAGAAAAAAGGATATGTATGCTTTCATCTAGATCATATTTAGAAGCAAAGTTTTTTTTTTTTTTTTTTTTTTGGCAATCTGAATCTGCAAAGCACCATACCTTTAGATCACGCATAGGCTGCAGATGGAAAAGATTCCAGAACTTCTTGCCTGAATTAAGTAAAACAGAGATAACTACTTAAGTACCCTAGACTGAAGACTATAATGCTCGCTTCAAGAATAGTTACCAGATAAGATAACAATAGCAACTATAGGCATACCAGTTTTCGTGTAGTTGATCAGCTGCACTGTAACTTCTGTCTGATTATGAATCGCATCCCTTATTTTCATCACAGTCGCTGGATCAGTTTCGGGTCCTTGCAAAAACCTACACAATAACAAGCATAAGAAAAAGTAATAAGGTACGTAAAAAGTTACATTTCCAAGTTAGTCATGCAATGAGGCCTACCGACAATTTCTTCCCAAAATTTCTTCACGGCTGTATTCTGTCAACTCTAAGAAGCTATCGGAGGCAAAGATCTGAAAAATAATCCAAAGATGAGCATAATACATCCAATGTCCAAAAAGTGGAAAGTTCAGAGATAAACAGTGAAATAGTATATGAGACATTACGATGGGATTGTCTGGTAGCCTTGGATCTGTAATCACGAAGTTCTTCTCTATACGTTCAAGGGTGGTAGCAAGATCGATACCCTTTCTCATTTCCTTCTTCCTTACTTTGTCATCTAAGCTATCAGGCCTAGCATCATCATCATCATAATCACTGAGCTCTTCATCAAGATCCTCAGCATATTTCTCATCAAAGCTATCAGCAGTGGATTGCATACTTTTTCTCCTGAAACTGAATTGGTGAATACAAGTTATACATATATTACATTTGTGCCTACGGCCAAAAATTTCTATGGGGGAAAAAGAATAAGCCAATACCCCATGAAAGAACGACGGGAGGATTTTTTGTGCTTCTTCTCTGGCAACTCACTGATACTCTGCATTGAGTTACGCCTATCTCCATGAGAGTTGCGTCTTTCAGAAGCCACACTCTCTGAATTCCGCCTTCCTGTGGCTGCAACCCTTTTTTTCTCCTCTTCATCACCTCCACCACTACTCTCTGATTTTCTGAATAGAGGGCGGTTCTTTGATTCACTACGTGCACGGGGTCTCTTGACAGCTTCAACAATTTCAGTAACTGAACTTACAGCAAGCTCCTTTTGACGTGCTGCACAACAAAACAAAAAACACATTTTATGACTCCTTGCGAATCTATACCAGGTTTTGATTCATGGATTCAATTAAGTCCATTTCTAAATGCAACAGCCTAAACCGGTGTCTATCTGTGAACTATGCAGCAGAGAGGAAGATTTGTTACTGTTTTTCAACCCCAATGAAGAAAATGCTCCTAGGATAATAGAGAAATAGCAGTAGAACATGTTGGCAGTATTATGTCATCAATCCCTCTCATATCTCGTAGACCAACAAAATATTATTAGTGTAGTCAATTTCAAGTCAAATTCTAAGTCAACATGCTCGTAAATTTCCCAGATGTTGACACATGATTTAGACATATTGTAGACCATTGAGTGAAAATTTGAGTTTCTATAGCTTAACAGGTAATCTTTGCATTCTGTTGTACTCGGGCCAACCCTGTTAGCTATAAGTTGCAATCGTTTACGGATTGCAACGCAGAACACTTAAAACAATAGTCCAGTTGGCAGCAGTGATTCAATGGGTGAAACTATCTGATCCTCCCAAACTTTAAACTCTCTGCTTTAGTAATAAGATAGGTATGAAGTACCATCATATCGAATCAAAGATTCAGGCAATCCATTGGGACGCAGCATCTTTTCCTTGGACCCCTCAGTGAACTTGCTGACTTCCACCTGCATTCTGCCAAATCACCAGACAGCGAAAGCCAAAAAATAAATCAGAAAAACGAAAAGGGAAACGTGGCCACACTCATTTACAGCCAGTATAATGTGACACAATCCTAATCAAGCCAGAAAAGTTGCCCCGCTGCAAATTTCTATCTCCTGCCTATCTTCATCCACATTTGTGGCCTGTGGGTCACTGTCCAGCATTTGCATTGGGTGATTGCTAAGTCGAGACTTCACTCGATCACCCCCAAAAGAAAAGAAGAAAAAGCCTGCAATTATTTGAGGTGACACTGAAATTTGGACAGTAGCTGCAAGCTGGTAAACTTTCTTTTCTGGTTCCGTGTTATGGTATGGGACTCTGAAGGGTCTGGATGGTCAGTTCCTCCATGTGGTATGTTGTTGTAGGACACTCATCAATGTCGCTAACACAGTTCTACCCACCCCTATTTCCAATTCACTTCATTATTCGTTGGCCTGGCATAAGGATGATGGGCAGGCAGGCAGGCATTCACTGCTATCTTGCCTGGAGAAACGACAACTACTTTCCAAAAAGATCAACCTTTTTTGTTCTCACTTATAGTATGAGTACCAAGAACGTGCTTTCCTTCCATCAAAGCTAAAAAGCAAGCAGCTTTCCTCCATTCCAGGGCATTTCACAGACAACCCATCACTTCGTTTTCCTTCCCCATTCACAATTCATCAGAAAGTAAACAAATTGGTATACTCTACTGTTCATCGGAAAGTAAACAAATTGGTAAACTCTACTGAAGAAGTAAGGCTGGACTGGAAGGAGTAAAAAGTTGCGAGTTTAAAACTAACCCAATGAATTTGAGCACTTTGCCATCGTCGTCTTTGATGGGAGTAACAGTGAGCAGGTTCCAAAATGGCGTCCCATCTTTCTTGTAATTCAGCAGCCTCCCGCAGTAACTTCCCCCATTCTGCAGCGACTCCCTGATTTTGGCTACATCTTCCGGGTCAGTACCCGATCCTTGTAGAAACCGGCTGTAAACCACAACCCGCAAAGAAAAGGGTCAACAAATTGTCAAGCTGGTTCGTCAGCAGCACAGTGAAAATTTTGAAAAAGCAAATTAATTACCAGTTCCTGCCAACCACTTCTTTGGAAGTGTAACCGGTCATCTTGAAGAACCCTTCGCTGGCGTACAGGATCGGGTAATCGGGTTTGGTAGCATCCGAGACCACAAACGTTTGCTGGAACGAGGACAGAGCAGCTTTGATGTCTTCCGACACCCTGGGGATTCCTCCTCTGTTGTCCTTACCCCCGTCGTCGGAGTATTCGCCCGAGCTCCGCGCGGAATTGCCGGAGTTCCTCCTCGAAGCTTTGCTGCCGGCCGGGTCGTCCCCGCCCGAGCTCCGGACCGAGACTCCTTGGGGTTTGCCCGTCTCGTCGTCGGTTTTCAGGACCAGCCCCCATTCCGCCGCCCTTTTGGCTGCCGCGCCGACCCCGCTGCCGCTGCCGCCGGCGCCAGCGCGGGCGGGCGTTGTGGAGGGCGGCGGGGTGGGAGTCGGGTCCTTGAGGGCCATCCATGAGGTTATCTCCGGGGCCTGAACCGGTTCGGAGGGGAGGGTGGGTGGTTCGGGTCCGGCAGCGCTGTCACGTGGACCAGTCAGGGTTTGCCAAGTGGAGGTGGGGCGGAAGGGCGGGTTAGTGGGTCGGGTTGAGAATGTGGACGGGTTGAAGACTTCGAGTGAACCGCGAGAGTCTCTTGGCGGTGGTGGTTGATTTTCCGGTTTCCCCATTCCTGCAAATATATTAATTAAATTACTCGTCCAAGGAGGGAAAATTCAAATTCATTTTTCGTATAAAAAAGAAGTACATAATCCCTAAAAATAATAGCCGTGTTTTGAAATACAAAGCCTTGCTGGCTACATATATATATATATACGGAAAGAACTAATCATATGAAATAATGAAATTTGGTGGGCTAATTACCAAGAAAATATAACGAATCAGATTGAACCGTCAAACTCTAAACTGTTAGCACATATAGTATAAAAGTAATTTAGAACGACTTACGTACAAAGTATGAGTGAACGATGTATATAACCAAATTAGGCATATTTTAAACAATTGGACTATTATTTATCACATTGATATATATTTATATTCCCCAGATGACATAATACACAAACTGATTTTTTTCCTAATACCATTAATATTTGAATCACATTGTTCAGATAGAGAACGTACACTAGTTTTGCATTTATGCAACATAAATTTGTTGAAAAAGTGTAGAGGAATGGGAAAAAAATATATATAGTACCCACCACCAACAAGTCAATCTCTCTTGTTATCAAGAAAAAAAAAATTTAAATCATATCAAGAAGTGGAGAGAGGAAAGGGATGGTTCAACTTGGAAATTGTGGTGGTTAGGATAAACACTTAAAATAATTAATACGAAAACAGGTGGTAGGGTTATTTGAACCACCTTACTACAGTTACGTTACGTCCATTTAGGTTAGGGTGTGTGGGGGAGGAAGTCAGGTACCAATTGTAAATGATGATGAAAATGAAGTATCTTATCTAGTGCTAGCTGCTGCGTCTTTCACTATCATATCACACCTCGCTCCAATGGCGACTTCTCCCTTCTCCGAGCTAGTGGGGATCGATCCACTTAATTTCGAAAGCAATTGGTCGACTGATATTTATTTAATGATATTTATTTATTTATTTATTTATCATGTATGTATATAATCGAACTTCTCCCAATTTGTATGAATAAAGACTAAATAACTGAACTAATAATAGATTTAATTTCATATTAGTGATCAATATTCTACTGAAATAAAAAAAACATAACACAGTATAGCAATCTCAGTGAATTAATTAGAAGTAGCAAACAAGCAAGTTACAATAAAGAAGAAGAAGACGGACCTGGAAATTCTTGGGGAGCGAAGCAAAGCTAAGGTAGGAGATAGTTGCACTATTGGAGGATTCTTGATCTTCTTCTTCTTCTTCTTCGGGTTGAGTGAAAAATTGGGGAGGAGGAGTTGCGGTATTTATATAGGTATGCAAACTAGGCTAGTAGAGCAAGAAACGCCGGCCGAGAATTATTGTGGTGGAATGAATGATGATGAAGAACAAGGCGCCCATGCCTGATCGATCATGCACAGCCACAGCCACAGCCTATCTTATTGTTGCCCGGCCACATGGGACATATGGGCTCTGTATTCCTCTCTTATGAAATATGAATGGAACATGGATCTCCCTTCTTCCTCATCGGATCCTGATCATCGCCCCCAAATATTCCCCTCCTACGTTTCCATCCTTCCCTGTCGACGCTAGCTGCTGCAAATTCCTCCTAAATCTTCAATCAATCGGCCGTCAATAATGCTGCTTAATATATATATATAGGGGGAAAAAGGCACACTGATCTGATCTCTCTCCTGAATCGTCCACTTTGCTGCTGAGGGAGGGAGAGGTTTGAGCTGCTTTCCTGCGGCCGGCTGCAGGATGGGCCAGAAAGGAGGAAACTGAACAAAAAGCTAGCTTTCTCTCTCTCTCTCTCTCTCTCTCTCTCTCTCTCTCTCTCTCTCTCTCTCTCTCTCTCTCTCTCTCTCTCTCTCTCTCTCTCTCTCTCCATATGCAACTAGCCAGGCTAGCCAGAGTCTGTGTATGTGTGTTTCTGTTGGGTACCCACGTTGGGAATTTGGACTCTCTCCCGACCGCCACTCATGTTCTCTCTCTCTCTCTCTCTCTCTCTACCTCTGCCTTATGGTAATGGCGGGACCATGTCCAATGTCCATGCATGCCCACCTATGCCTATGGGGAAATATCTATCCAACTTTTGCTAGCTAGCTCTCATCTAGGGGTGGAGTTCGGTCGATTCGTTTATAACCGCAAACCGAAATGTTGGTTATCGGTTAAACCAAACCACCTCCCAAACCTAACTACCACCGATTGAAGAGAGGCCTTACAACTTCGACTATCTCGGTTTCGGTTAATCGAACTACTCCAAGACCAAAAACATCTTGTCCATCTCTCCAAATACCGACCGGTTTTTGATTATCTCGGTTTTCGGTTAGTGGATAACCGACCGGTTTTGATTGTAATTGGTCGGTTAACCTCTAACCGATTGTCCAACCCTACTCTCATCCTTCTTTCAACACACATACCCCAACTCTTTAACATCACCACCTTCTTTCTTAATCACAACAGCCTGCCACACATTAATCTCTAAAATCCTTATACAAAAACAAGCAATCCCAAACTTTAATTAAAAATCTACAGTTGATGTCAAACCTTCGAGAGAGAGAAAGTAAACAACAACAAAAAAAAAACCTTCTTTTGCTTGATGTGGTTAATATTTCCCCTTTCCAACTATTCTAATGAATACGTCTTACATCTCCTTACCTTACTGCATGCACATGTATTGATAGGCTAAAGATGGGGTGAAATGAGTTAGCTACTTATACCCTTTTTAGTGCTTTGGCCGGGGAGATCGAAGCTGTTGAGAAGAGACATATACTAGCTAGATATCCAAGTGATGATCATAGGCAATTTCAGTATCGTCTGATGATCAAGTTACTAGAGGAAATTTCTAGATCTCGACACAAAGGAAAAACATGAGTGCTACAGTACACGCGAGATTATGTAGCTATTAGGAGGTTTGACGGTAAACGTATGTCGTCATACCCCTTCATTGGTTGTTCGTATGATAATTTACATTTTCTGGAACAACGTTACCTAAAGTATTTGCCTAGTATATATACGTGACACAAAATGATGTGACGGAGGTATTTTCAGTGTTTTGAAGAGTCATGTTAAGTAACTCAAGGGGCATTCAGACCTATGTGCTTATGAATTTGGGCTTGGAGCGAGTTTCTAGACCATCTCCATCTCAGAAAGTGTTTGGCAATTTTTAAAGTGGTCCCCCATATCCACGTACATCACCAATTTTAACAATTACCTCACTCAACAATTTCTAACCATCTACATTCCAACAATCCTTTAGCAATTTCTATTGATGGGCCCTACAACATATCAATATCCCTTATTATATTTTCTTCTAAATACTTTTTGCACAGTTAATAATATATAAATCATAATGTATTTAACAATCTTATATTTATACATAAAATTGGGGTTTAGTATGTTGTGTTATAAAAAATATCTAAATATTATATAATTAATCATTAATTGAAACAAGTATTTCGAACTTTGGTTTATTGAAATATTCTATATTATTTATAACTAAAAAAGTGTATCAAGATTACTTCTCTAATTAATAATTAATTATATAAAAATGTTTTTAATCAACAACTTAAAAACAATAATGTGATATGTAAAAATGATGAAGAAAAGAAATAAAAAGAAAAAAATATGAAAGGTTGGTCCCATTGGTCTAGGTGGCATTGCTAAGGAACTTGCTAATTTAGCAAGATTGCTAACTTAACAATAGGTCATACATCCCTAGTAATTGCTAGTGGATTGCTACATCACCATCCACCTCATTTGGCAATTGCCAAATTCTAGCGATGGAGATGATATTAGGGTTTTGGTTGAATTAATTAGCAACACTCGTATATGTTAGTGTTACAGAACAATATGTGTAATGTGATGGCGTGCAAGGTGTTATCTTTTAAATGGATTGAGTTAGAGTCTTAGAGATATCATTTGTGTTCCAACTTCTTAGATCTGGGTCATAGAGAGATGCATCTAGTTCCTCGGACAAGAATATCTACTACGTCATTTCTGGTTAGGAAAACACCAACTTAACTAGTGCTCGACCGACCCTCTAGAATATGTATTTGAAAACTTTTCAACACTCATATATGTTATCTTCAAGACTCTTTAATTTTATCTGCGGTAGAAACTCCAAGATAAAATCACGAGATTCTTCATTTGAGGGACATCATCAATGACTTGGATGATAATACCTCTATGCATATGTATGTAAAGCATATAACCCAAGAAGAAACATATGAAATTTGAGTTTCTAAATTAGTGGTCTTGAGACAAATTTCCTTTAAGTCTTCGTATCGTTGTTGAGTAATTTGAACATGTGGTGTATCACTTGAGAGGTAGTTAGTCAATCTCTTAGAATCAAACCCTATTGTTGATGAACACTCAACGTTGTTAGGTAATTTGATGTACATTTTCAAATTCTTAATGAACCCAAAACGCTCATGTATCCATGATTTATCAAAACCCAAGTTATACCAAAACGTTCATTTTTCGAATTCACGAAGCAAACGACCCATCTTTCCATAAAAGTATGGTTACACATGTTATATTACAGCATAAAAATGATCTCGAACCCAAACCCATTTCCATCCTACACAAAAGTCGCCCTTCTAGTTATGATTCATGTGCCGATCGATCGATATCCACCAAGAACTTTTCACTCTCGATCAGTAGGTTTAACTAACTTGTTGAAGCCGTCACTCATTGAAAGAGAAAAGACCAACTTTTTTCAGTAATTAAACGATGTCGCTATATGCGTAGGAGAAATGAAGGGATATGGGTACTGTCACAAACTGATAGCGACCGGTTGCCACGTGAAGCAGGTCTTGGCTTGCAATGGATATCCTCCAAACGCTTATCCCTTGGTTGGGATAGGTCACAATCTGTGACAACTATGTCCCCCTTCCATCTAGGCCAATGCTGAATTAGAAAGGTACTAACGTTCAAAACTTCCCTTAAATATACTGTTGTGACATCTGGGTAATGGTCCTTTATGGAAGACCAGCAAGGGTTGGCAACGACATTGGAGGTATATTACAGAACTTATAGTGGAAGAACAGGAAACCAACTGGAGAAATTAAGTGCAATCAATTGCTTTAATTAGTCGTTGATTAGCTCACTTTCTTTTTATGTAAGCCATGATTTTGTAACTGATCACATAAGCAAAGCAAATGACGGCAGTATTGTAATATACCTCCAATCGGTTGAAAGCCACCAGCAGTATTGTAAGTGCTAACCGATCCTTCTTATAAATTTAATTTATCGGAGTATTGATAGAGTTTAGAGTATTCTTACAAACGTGTATGTGAAAATTCCTTGTCGTAATATCAATAATATTACAGACAGTTGAGTGATTATGTGTTGTATTCAAACTATATTTTAGTAGAAGATTTGACGTTATTTTCAATATATAAATAAAATTTAATGGGTTAGAAAATGAGCCTTAGAGAAAAACAACATGATAATCAGACTATCCTTAGTTCTACCTTTGCACAAGCAAACTTTATAATGGGCTCCAACTAGGGCTGCAAATGAGCCGAGCTGCTCGCGAGCGGCTCGGCGTTCGACTCGAGAAAAGCTCGTTCGAAACTCGACTTGTTAATAAACGAGCCGAACATGAGCTAAGTTTTGTTCAACTCGTGAAGCTCGCCAGCTGGCTCGACTCGGTGGCTTGTTGAGCTAAACTCGTGAGCTGGCTCGTTTAGAGTTCATGATATGTCTCAACATGTGGCTAGAGAGCCAACTCGATTACCGACTTATGGACGAATCAATCTATATCTTATGATTTTAATTCGTATGGTTGTTAAATTATCTATCTCACCATATATAAAGGCTAATACGTTGAGTATGTGAGCAAATATATCTTATTTTCTAGGCCAAATACACTTGTATAGCCAAATCTTTGACGGTTTAGCCAAATATAGCCACTTTTGGCGAAATACCAAAAATAGCCACTTCCGTCCAATACTTTAACGGTGTCATCTAACACGCTGACTGGATTAACGGAAAATCTGACTTGTCAACTTTTTGGTTAATACCAATATGACATGGAATTAATATAAAAAAATAATAATAAACTATTAACCATTTTCTTTCCCCTTCTGTTCATCTCATCTCACACTCCATCTCTCCACCGAAAACTTTCTCTCTCTTCGCTTCCCAATAATGGCGATTGATATCTTACCGTCATCATATTCGCCCAAAATGTCCTCCCTTCCCGGCCACAGCCAGATTTCCGGCCGCCACACTGGTCACTCAAATTTCAATCTAAGACCTGCAATCAAACCCAAACACATCTCAGCCGTTGTCAAGCCTCCACCCCCTAAACCCCAGCTCCCGACGCCGCAAAGAAGAAGCCGGTCGCCTAGACAGGGTCGAGACTCGCCACCGTGGCAGCGGCCGAGCCAAGATCCGTACGATATGCAAAATGGATGAGGTATTGGTGGCGATGGCTTCAGATCTATTTTCCTCTTCTTTATTTTTGTTTTTAGTTTTGATTGTTGGATTCGGGATCAGCTTGATGAAGAAATTCGGCTATCCATCGAGCTTGTTCGTGCTCTTGAATCTGATCTTGAACACCTTAACTCTGGCGTGATGAAGTGGCGGCGGGGCAAGGCGATGCAGGAGACGCAACCGTCAAACGTAGCCGTCAGCGGGTCTTTCAAAATCACCATCACTTCAGATTGCTCAGACGCGGCCGCCCCCGCCGGCTATAAAAAAGGCACAAGAAAGTCAGCATCTCGATCCACAAAGGAGACCGCAGAAACGACGCTGTCATCATCTTTCACCGATTTGGAAGCGAAGGAGGCGGAACCCCTCTACGAATCCCTAGCGTGAAACAGGTGAATTGAATCGGAAGAATGACTGAAGCGCAGGATTTTAGAGTGGAGAAGGAAGAAGAGGAGAGCCAGCGCAGGGAAGCATGACTGAAACTCCATTCCCGACCTAGTCTGGTGGCAGAGCTGGCACAGGGAAGAATAGACTAAGGGGGGGTTTGTGCTTCGTGTTTCTGCAGAAGGAGAGCCTCTGGACGGAGGATCTCCAATTAACTGTGGGAAGAGCACGCGAAGGGAATTTCAATTTTCCCCTTTCCCATCTCGGTCTCTGTGTTCTTCAATCTAATAACTTTTTCTTCTTCTTTTTTTTTTCCTCAAGAACGGCTGCGGCGATATGCAACAAAGGGTTATGCAGGATCGGGAGATTGAGTTCCAGATTTGCTCTGTTCTTCAATCTCATACCTCTTTCTTCTTCTCCTTCCCTCTGTTTTTCTCTGTTTGAATGTGTTCGTGTTTATGCTCAGGCGTCAAGAAATTGTATTAGATTGCGTATATGTTCTTTTGGTTGTTTTGACTTTAGTTTTCGGCTAGTTTTTATATGGCTTTCCGTCTCTTGATCTGCCTTTTCTTCCAACTGTACACTTCTCCGTCGCATCACCACGCTGCCTACGCCGGAAATCTGCTTCTCGCAGCAGGGGAAGAGGAAGAGTTGGAGAGAAGGGCGGCGGCCAATGGCGCTGGTAGGAGAGGAGAGAGGATGAGAAAATAATTTTGATTTTTTATTTATTTTTAAATTAATATATGACATGGCATTCATGTGGCAAGAGTTATTGAGTTTTCGATGATGTGTCCTGTGAGTTGGCAGCCAGATCATCATTCTGTTAATTCGACTAACGGTGTCACTGACTCCGTCAAACTATGTAACGGAAATGGCTATTATTGTCATCAAACTTTCAAATTTTTGGCTATTTTTGGTATTTTTCCAAAAGTGGCTATTATTGTCACAAACGTCAAAGTTTTGGCTACACAAATGAATTTTGCCTATTTTCTACTTTAAAAAGAAATTATGTATCATAGTTTGCTTCGATACTATGAAATAACATGATATGGAGTAGTTAAAAATTATTAACTAAATGATATATGTTACCAACAAAGTATAATACGAGATTAGCTAACAAAATAATAGATATGTACCATGATATACAAAATGAAGTGCCAAATAAAAGTCAAGATTTTAGTAAACAAGCTAGCTCGAACTCGACTTGGCTCGTTAATAAACGAGCTGAGCTCGAGCTCGACTCTTTTATAAACGAGCCGAGCTAAAGCTGGAGTAAAAATCGACTCGGCTCAGCTCATTTGCAGCCCCTAACTCCAACCCCTAATCTAATTCCGTCACGAAAATTTTTAAGTATCATGATATCTTTAATATTATGAATTAGTGACACTTTCACTCTATTGTCCACCAAACAATGACCATAATAATGTATGGCGCTAGAAATTAGAGTAGCTGTCTGAAAACCGTCGCTTAACATCTAATGACTAAATAACATCAAGTTTGGAAAGCAAAACATATACTTAGAGGTAATCCCTTGGTCCACGTCTATAGTAAGCAACTAGTTGGCAAAACGTCTTGGTCTAACTTCTATTGTCTCACTTTAGAATCAAAATTGGCCACAAAGCACCCTTATAAACAAACAAAACATATTTTCTCACTTCAACAAACAAACTAATAAATATAGAAGAACCAGATGGATATATATGTAGTGGGCAGTTGGATTGAGAAGCTACGGAAGATCCACATAGAACTTCAAGTTTATGAGATCCTTGATTTATAAGAATTTTCTCTTCATTTCTTCTAGTTGCTATAATTATAACACGGAATCTGGTAACCCTAGCTAGTAGCTAGACTGCTAGAGATATTTTAATACCTAAAATATTAATTCTAAAGTACATATCAACTGGACTAAAATGTTAATTCTAAAGCCCAGCCCAAACTACACCGATCCAGTTCAGCTCGTTGATTGAAAACCAGCTAATGGGGAGTTAAACTTCCGCTAAGTAATTGGGCTTTATGAAACTTCTTGTCCAGTTAAAAGCCCAATTGCTAAGCAACGCAGAGACAGAAGCCCAGCCCCAATTCAGTTGTCTTCTTCCCTTGGCCAACCAACCAGGGTTGCTGTGTTCAATTGAAACTTGAAATGGAGAAACAGAGCATCGGTGGAAGGCTATACTATTCATCTATTATGCCGTCCAAAAGTCCTGGAGAGTCGTGGTTGAATTTAAAAAAATAAAAATAAGGTCAAAAGGGTCTAATTCAACCCGCATTTCAAGTTCGGTATTCCCTCCTGAGCCAACCCAGACCGCCAAAAACGAGAGGAAAAAAAAAAAAAAAACAGAGATGTAAAAAAGAAAAGGCAAAGAAAACATTCCCGCGATATCTCCGTCTCTCCCTAACCTCTGCCTTCCCCAGTCTCTGTTTCTCCAAGATCCGAAGATTTCTCCAAACGAAATGAATTGTTACACCAATCGGCGCCGGAGCTAAAAAAACAAAACTCAGGGATAGAAACAATTGCCCGCCGTTCAGTAAAGAGAAAATGCACGGTCTGGCAGTGAGGTTGAGGAAGTATCTGATTCTGCTCTTCATCGTCACTTTAGTGCTCTACCTCCTCTATTACTATTACGTCACCTTCGCCTCATTGTCCACCAACGCCGCAGCCGTGGAACGCCGTTGCATCCCCGTCGAGGAACACTACGAGATCATCCGAAACATCTCCTCCTCCGTCTCCAAATCCCAACAGCCACTGGAGAACGCCCGCCATCACCACCTCAAGAACAAAACCGCCCCTAAAATCGAACGCCGCCCTCCTCCTCCTCCTCCTCCGCCGATATCTTGTCCTTTGTCGCCGCCGATCGGGTTCGGGACGGAGGTGAAGCACCTGGTGTTCGGCATCGCGGCATCGGCGGAGCTATGGGAGACGAGGAAAGAGTACGTGAAAGTGTGGTGGAGGCCCAGGTCGAGCCGGGCCGTAGTTTGGATGGACCAGCCCGTTCCCAGGCCCAAGAACAGGGAAAAGAAGGATGAGGCCCTGCCCGACATCAAGATCTCCGGCGACACGTCCGAATTCAAGTACTCCAACCGGCAGGGCCACCGATCGGCTCTCCGGATCTCCAGGGTCGTCTCGGAGACGCTGAAGCTCGGGTTGAAAGACGTGAGGTGGTTCGTCATGGGCGACGACGACACCGTTTTCATCCCCGAGAACGTCGCCCGGATCCTCGACAAGTACGACCACCGCCAGCCCTATTACATCGGGAGCTCGTCGGAGAGCCACCTGCAGAACATCTACTTCTCCTACAACATGGCCTACGGCGGCGGCGGCTTCGCCATCAGCTACCCTCTCGCCCGCGAGCTCGCCCAGATCCAGGACAAGTGCATCCAGCGCTACCCTGGGCTGTACGGCAGCGACGATAGGGTTCATGCTTGTATGGCCGAGCTCGGCGTTCCTCTCACCAAGGAACCTGGATTTCATCAGGTTTGTCTTCTTTTCAGTGTGCCGGGTTGGTCCGATTCAATCTCAATCTACAAAGTACATTCGAATTCGAACCAAATATACCCAAATCGGTCCTTATTCGTTTTTATTCTAGACTACATCGATTCGATCCGATTCTAAATCGGACTACCTAGCTAGCTACCAATTTCGACATGCTTTCACTAGTTGATGATTGGGTTTGTTGCAGTACGATGTATCAGGAGACCTATTGGGTCTACTGGCAGCACATCCAGTGACGCCGCTGGCCTCACTGCACCACCTAGACATAGTAGAGCCAATATTTCCAGGGAAGAGCAGAGTGGAAGCTCTGCACCAGCTGTTTCAATCGGTGAGGGTGGACGCGGCAAGTGTGATTCAGCAGTCCATATGCTACGACAGGGACAGGTACTGGTCCGTATCGGTTTCGTGGGGGTATGCGGTTCAAGTGTGGAGAGGGGTGATCTCGCCCAGAGAGCTCGAGGTGCCAACTAGGACGTTCGAAAACTGGTACAAGCGAGCTGACTACACCGCCTACTCGATGAACACTAGGCCTGTCACTAAGCACCCTTGCCTCAAGCCCTTCATCTTCTACATGAGCGCCACTAAACTCGATCGTGCTAGAAAGAAGTCTGTTGGGGTGTACTACCGGCACAAGACCCCTTCGCCTTACTGTCGATGGAAGATGGCTTCGCCGCAGAAGATCAACTCCATTGTAGTTGTGAAGCGTCCTGACTACCAGAGATGGAAGAAGGTACATTCCTACCCTATGCCACAACATGTTTGTCTTAGTGGGATGTTAGTTTTCTGTTGAGTGTTTCACATTTTGGTCTGGTTTATGTGAGCAGTCACCAAGGAGGGATTGCTGCAGAGTTCTTCCATCGAATCGAACAGATTCGATGTACGTGTGGGTGGGGAGTTGTCGAACAGGCGAGATCAGTGAACTGGATAAGAAATGAAATGGGGGGAATACGGCTTGTCCATCTCCATAACTCCATCCCATTTCCCTTCTTCTCAGAAATGCATACAGTAGTAAAGGCAACTACTACAAACAAACTAACGGAAAGTGAGAGCTAAGGAAGCAATATTGACGGTTTCTAGCTTTCATCACACCACGAAGAAGACCCAGAAAAGAACTGTGAACCCAATCAATGGTGCCAAGAAGAATCGACTAGCATTTTTCTGTTCATTCATCATTCATTTCATTGTGTTCTACTTCATGTTGTAACACAAAATTTGATACAAGCTGCTGCCAACATGTAGTAGTTGCCCTAAAAAGATGCAGTAGTATGTAAGACACAGTTTTGCCTTAGTGGAGTTGTTAGGTTGTTGTTGCAGAAGTAAAAATGGACATACCTACACCAGCATATCCATATGCAACCAAAACTCCAATATTACTTCTTTGGAAGGGAAAAGGAAATGGGGTTGATCGTTTCTCAGACCTTTTATGGCGACAGAAGAAGGTCCCAAGCAAATTCGATCATCCGTGTGTAGTATCGTCGGCCAGAAGTGCTTGACTTGGTCCAGGTGGTGCTGTAATGTTGAGATCTGGAAGAGAGCCATCAGGCGCCATGGATTCCCAGACCGCAAGCTCGACCAAGTTAGCGTTGAAACTGACACTGACATTCTCATAGTCGATCGGATGTGTTCCTACCATTCGTCCATCCATCATCTCTATGACCACTGCAGCCCAAAGTGACATCAAACTGTGATTAGTGATTTCTTCATTGGCTAATGCAATGACTACACTACCAAAGTGAATTTCATCTAACTTGTGAACGGAAAAAGAAAAAGTAAGCAAGAAAACGCCAATTTTCCACTCTAATTTTTTCTCGGGAAACAAACGGATCAAGGCACATGAACTGAGAATCGCCGTGCCGTTGAGCTGATGGAAACCGAGGAAAAGGTAACCAGTAAAATCTATTCCCTCATCTCAATTCGACACGCAAACTGGAATCAGATCTCGAATCAATTTCACTAGTTCATTGAAATCGACGCAAGCTCCGACCCTGACATTTCTGGAATCAGTGAATCAATTTCAGCTAGCCTAACAATTCAGGTCATCGACTCTATCGTATTCACTTAACCATACTCAATTTCATTTTCAGTATCGCATTCAACTCGATCGTAATCGAAGGCAAATCAATTGCCAGAGAAGCGGCAAGAAACAAGAACCCTAGCTAGCAGCAAGAACGCAACAAGAAACAGAGCAATAAGAAAGGCGCAGAGAGAAATGAATTACTGGAAGCTGATCGGGAAGGGGGGAATTCGAAAGTAACAGAATGAAATTCCGTGAAGAATCGCGGATTAGAAGTTCAGCGAGGGGTTTTACCTGGGGAAGAGAACCACCAGAGAATGACGAAGCAGAGAACGACGACGGCGGGAATGGCGTGGATCCAGTTGGTGGCGGATGCGGCTCCGGCGAAGTAGGAGCGGCGGTGGTGGTAGGGAGGGAGGTCGTCGTCATGTACGTTGATGGTGTGATGGTGGTGATCTTGCGGCGGTGCTCTCGAAGAGATCGTCTGTCTCTGCTGCATCGCGAGGAGAGAGAATCGGATTGAGAGTCCGGCTGCTGGAGAGATTTGAGAAGAGGCGAACGGAAACAGAGATCGATTTCTGGCGGAGAGAGTTTCTTGGAGCGGAGGAAGTATGGCGGTGAGGCTGGAGAAGGAAAGCGGAGGATGAGTCGTCAGTGGCGTATCTGAGGCGGTGAGAATTTTCTTGGATTTCGGCCGAGGGAGAGAGGGAGACTGTTGGTTTTATGCAGCGTAACGAACAGTTCGCATATTGGCGGGAAAATTAGTTTGGGCTAGCGATCGGCAATGGGTGATCAGTTGTGTGGTTTTTACTTTTTAGACTAAGGGATGATGAAATTTCAAGCGTTGTATTTGGTTAATATATTATCAAGATTAAGTCTTTTTTTTTTCTGTTAAATTTAAGATATAATTAATGTATTACATTTTTTATGGGTTCATCTAGGTTGGAAGTTTGGTACCGGTATTTGGTATATACTGAATTTGTTAATATTTGGTATTACCGAATATACGTATTATTTCATGGGACTGGAATTGAATATAAAATTAAGTATTATTCGGTATTAGAGATTACGCGATTGAGATCAGTATTATATCAATATACTGAAAAATACCGAAATATATATTAGTGTACATTTTAATACTTATAAAAAAATACCCACAAATCACATTAGGCTACCCTCACTCGGGCCTACAACTAAAAGAACTCCCAACTATTCAAGTTGGCCCATTCCCTTACTTTTTGGAATTTTACGATCAATCCCCCATTGCCCAACCCAACAGGAACCCACAATCCCAATCCCAAAGCCTTAAGTCCACACTACTCTCGTGTAGGATGGCAACAACACCTGAATCCACGGGTACCCACCCGACTAATGCAGTCAAAATCGCGATTTAAAACTTAAAAACTTACGATTTTACGCTTTTGGGTCACCAAAACGCTTTCGTTTCCATATAAAAACTTAAGTGTATAAAATCAGACTAAATTGCGCTTTAAAACTTAAAAACTTACGGTTTTACGGTTCTAGTTCACCAAAACGCTTTACGTTTTTACGCTTTTAGTTCGCTACATGAGTATTCTTTTCATGAAATTAATTATAAAAGGTATATTTTTAAAGTAAATCACTAACAATATGATACATTTGAGATTAAAAGATACATACTAGATACTTGGATGCATTCTACTTCAATAGAGTAATCTAATTCACCAACTAGGGTTTTCCCAAATTCATTAGCATAGAGGGAAAAGTGGCTTATCGTTAAAATTTATGTTTACGAACTTATTATTAAGATGCTATAAGTTGCTCTACTTTAAACATGAATCACATGTATTTATTAACTTATCTAAATTCTGTGCATTCATATTTTGCATAGCATATGTCCTACTTAATAGATTTTTAGTTATTTTTCAGTATGCGTCAAAAACTTACGCTTTTACGCTTTGATTCTACGTTTTACGATTTTACCCCTTTTCCGCTTCTAGGTAGAATCGCGCTTTTGACTGCATGACCCGACCCAACCCGGTCAACGCGGGTAAAATCCGTGTTGACGGGTTTTGGGTCGGGTTCGGGTTTAAACCCGCTACACTATTCATCGGGTCGGGTCAGGTTTGGGTTTAGGTAAACCCGCCCCATTGGTACCCGCTCACACATATATAATTACTTTCCCGGTATATTTAATATTCTAAATAATATATCTTCCTTAAATAACTAATATTCTTTATGTTTGTGGAGACATGTATAATTTGTTCTTTCTAATTGTTTAGAATGAAGTTGATATTATGAAGTGGAGAGTGAAGAAACTTAGTTGACGAGGAAGAAGCTTTCAATTAATCTTATTGTTTATAGATGTTTATCTTTAATTTTGAACAATTTCTATTGATCATTTGCGGTTTGCTTGTATGCTCTAGATTGGTGTTTTTTGTATGAGAAAATTGATGTTAAACTTTTATTTTGAAAAAAACTTGCTATTGTAAATTTTTTAACACAAAAACCCACGGGTACCCATGAACCCGCGGATACCCAGCGGGTTGGGTTGGGTTTGAGTTTTTCAAGCCCACGGGTTTTACCCAGGTTTTTTTTGCGGATAAACCCATGGGTTTGGGTTTGACGAAACCCGCCCCAACCCGACCCATTGCCATCCCTACTCTCGTGTCTCATCCCACACAAAAAACCTAGGTCACTTTCTGCTCCAATTTCCGTTGGCACTCTCAAGCTCAAGCTCTGAACCGCTCAACCTACATCAAAGACTACCCGCAATCAACTAGTGTCAAGAAATGAAGGAATCATTGCTGCCAACATAGATCTAGTTCACTCAATCCCCAATCTCCATCACATCCTTCTATTCCTCACAATCTCACCTCATTTTGGGTTCTTGGCAACAACAGAAGGACTTTGCACACCACCTCAATCTTCTTTGTTCAATGTAAGCACCACAATACCCCACTTTTGTCAAAATAATGAAAACTGAAGAAAATGTGGGCATGAGAGTTTTGTTGGGTACGACCAGTATTTCCATCTTTGTCATTTTTGTGTCTATTTTGCAAACTCAACTATTCATCCTTTCCACTTTCATTATTTGATTGTTTATAGGACAAACCAAGCCAGGGTTACTACCCCAGGCAGTACTACTCCGGCCTCTAGTGACGTCGCTACAGCTTCAACTCCTTTGCCTTCTACTCAACCTCCACTAGTACATGGAGCAGGTGATAGCACACTGACAGAGGTTACCGGTGCAGCACCTAAAAAGCGGAAGGTGATGGAAAAAAGATCACCATATTGGAAGCAATTTGTGGGCTCCAAAAATAAAGAAGGAAATGATAAAGCAACTTGCAATTATTGTCAAGGTGTAATTACTGCTCATCCGATTAGTAATGGAACATCTGGGTTGAAGACACATGATTTATCTTGTACAAAGAAGCCTGTGGACAAGAGTCAATTGGCTTTGAACTTGCAACCAACAGGAGATGGTCAGGTAGGTACTTGAAGTACCTGGAAGTTTGATCAAGATGATGCTAGAATGGCTTTGGTTGAAATGATTATACTTGATGAACTTCCTTTTCGATATGTTGAGCATGAAAGGTTCTGACGTTTCATGTCAAGGGTATGTCCAATGTTTAAGATACCGAGTAGGAAAATTGTTAGGGAGGATTGCTTTCGATTGTTTCTTGAGAACAAAGATAGATACAAGGACTACTTTTCAACAAAGTGTCATGGGAGGATCTCAAGTACAACTGATGCTTTGACTTCTTTGTCAAATCTGAACTTCATGTGCATAACTGCTCATTTTATTGGCAAAGATTGGAAACTATATAAGAAGATCATTGCTTTTGTTCAAATCACTAGTCATGCTGGGTCTGATATTGGGAAGACACTTGTTGTATGCATTGAGGAGTGGAACATTAAGAATGTCCTATCCATTACCATGGATAATGCAAGTGCCAATACCACTGCCATTACCCACATAAAGCACAAAGTGAAGCTTTGGGGTCAGATTTTTTTGATGGCAAGTACTTGCATGTGAGATGTGTAGCTCACATTATTAATCTGGTTGTGACCGAAGGGCTCAAAGATATTGGGAAATCAGTTGAGAGGGTGAGAGAAGCAGTGAAATGGGTGAAGGCTTCTCCTAGTAGATATGCAACATTCAAGAAATGCTTTGTGTATGGAGCAATAGAGTCAAAGAAATTGTTCTCGTTAGACGTGCCAACTCGATGGAATTTAACTTATCTCATGTTGGAATTCGCTGAAAGGTATGAAGGTGCATTTAGAGTTCTAGAATCAACTATGGATAACTTCAGCAAGTGCCTAGATCGCCTAACATATCAAGATGAGCAACTTGGAACCCCTAATGTTGTTGATTGGGCAATTGTGTGGAGGCTAATGGAGTATTTGAAGTTCTTCTATACCTTGACTACTCATGTTTCGGGTACTTCTTATGTCACTATACATCTTTTCTTTAGAGAACTTTGCAATATTTATGATATGATAAGTGACTTGGAAAAAAATAGAGAAATTGAGGTACAACAATTTGAAGCTAGGATGAAAGTTAAAGTTGCAAAGTATTGGTATGAAAGCAATGTTAGTGGCAATGCAAACATGAACCGATTGTTCTACATTGCTTTTGTGCTGGATCCTAGACGCAAATTTGAGTATCTTGATATTGCTTTGTCAAGTATGAATGGGAAAGATAGAGATGAAATTTTGTCCATGGAGATCAAGGAGGATATGTGTGAGATATTTGAACATTACAAGGGGTTGCTCTGACCCCCGTCCAATGATCAAAGTGTGGATTTTACTACTGGTAATGATGCTGCTATGGATGCTGTGAGATTCAGAGGAATTGAAGCAGAGTTCAGGAGCAGGAAGAAAGCGACTATTGAACAGGGGACTCGAAGGGTTTCTAAATCCGAGTTAGATAGGTATCTACCTGAGGAGGATGATATAGAAGGTAATGATTGCAATTTTGATATTTTGGGGTGGTAGAAGTTGAATGGAGTTAGATACCTGTGCTTTCAGAAATGGCTAGGGATATTCTTGCCATTCCTATTTCCACAGTTGCTTTCGAGTATGCATTTAGCATTGTAGGTCGAGTGCTAAATGAGTTAAGGACATCTCTAACCCCAAAGATTGTTGAGGCAATGATTTGTAGTCAAGATTGGCTACGGGCTGATGACTCAAAGTTAATGAATGATGAAGAAGACTTGGAAGATCAAGTAGAATTCGAAAGTGGTAATTTCTTTTATTCTCTCCACTTTATTTTTATTTTTTTTGGTCGGTGTTTAGTTAATATTATTGTTCATTGCCTAACTGCTACTTTTTTGCAACTAGTATATGCAACATTTCAAAAGTTAACTATGAATATGGGCGGAAGTGGGAGTGCTACCGGTGGTGTAAGCAATACTTCAGCAAGTGCAACTCCAAGTTCTGTTAGTGCAAGCTCAAACCCATGTTCTAGTGACAGGAATCCTCATCATGAAGACGAAGATGAAGATGTCATGAATT